CATTAGATCGTCCTTCAACATTATGTCTCCTCTTCCAACATCAGCTGATGGCCTTGTGTGGAAGCACAGCCTGGACGAGCTTTCATCACCAACACGAACCTCAGATTGATATTCCTACTAGTTTTTTGTTCCGATGAGCTCCTAGAGAAAATAGATTTGCCACTTCCATGGCATAATTCTTCTGGGTTTGACCCCACCGACCGCCACCGATAAACAAGATCCATCAGCCTCTCGTTTTAGTTTCGCTAACTCCTTGCACTCCATTGTTGAAATCTTTCTTGACAGCAGCGAGAAAAGCTTTTCTTTCTCTGAAATGTACACTGGGTTTCCCTTCTGATTCAGACAAATATAAGGATTTCTTGGCGATAAATTGTCTTTCCGTGAGCATTCGCAAGAAAATGAACTGCCGGTTCATGATGCTGCTGCTGCTACAGATGTGAAGCCCTTCGAAATTTCCTTTCAGAGAAGTGATCAGGTTCTTACTTATTACTAAAACTTTCTGATTTCGTATAAGGTCGAATTTTACCTTTGTTAATCTATCGTTTAGCATAAAAAGGAAATTAGGACTAGATTTGAATTCAGTTATCTAACAGTGTATATCTGTAATATGTGATGATTCGCTGGCCTTCTATATTAGTCAGATCAGCGGTGCTCACGAGCTTGTGGGGTTGCTTGTTTTCCCTCTTCGATCAACTCTATTCTACTTCTAGGAGCTCTCTAACTCGTAAAAGAAGAATAAGATGGACCAAGGATCTTCATGAGCCTTTCGTCATGATTGTTGACTGCCTTGGTGGTCCTGAAAGTAAGTTTACTTGACACACGACATAATATAGTTTAGTGTAACAACACGTTGCTTAGGTCTTGATTTGTGATCGTGTCGTTCGATCCTAATTATTGTAGAGGCAAAGCCTAAGTCCATACTAAAGATGATGGATTCAGATATGCTGACCATTTCTCACATCAAAAGTCATTTGCAGGTGATTAAAATTCTTAATATTAAGCAAATCATATGTTGTTATGAAACTTCGTTAATCGTACCTACTACTTGTCCGTCTCTATTTGCCTTGCAGAAATATCGATCTACAATATGCGTGCGGAAAGATTTGCGGGGTAAACTATATTTCTGTCCAACTTGCTTATATTACAGCAGTACCTCGTTCAACCAAATACATATAATCCTGCATGAAATATCGGTCAAACATACAATCTTCTTTTGTATTTTGATCTGTTTTAATAAAGAGTTTCTTCCAAAGATGGTTTATGGAGAAAAAGTGTCCTCATACAAACCCAAATCCCATCATTAGACCTCCTCTAATAGAAAATTGAATGAAAGTAAGCTTTTTCATTCGTTTGGATGGTGAGTGTAGACATGAAACACTCTGGAAATTAAAATATGGCCTATGTATATTGGAGGCTAAATGTGAATGTCCAAGATCGGTTAGATATTTTAGTTTGCATTTTTGGACAGTATTCACTCTCTTGGGCTAAACAGTAACCGGCTTGGCTTTTGGTATTTCAGAAAAATCTGGAGAAGGAAACGGACCAGAAGGAGTCTCCGAGCTTCAACTTAAAATGTTATCCACATTTTTCAATTTAATCTCAGTAAATCCTCTGTCATGTCTTATTTCTTCAACCATAATTAACACGTAAAATGTTTCTTGGTGCCAGCTATAAGCAGATTGAGGAATCACTACAACTTCAGCTTGAGGTCCAAAGGAGTCTTCACGAACAACTGGAGGTACTAAACGCAATACAGCATAACTTGGTTGCGAATCTTGTTTAACGTAATTACATCAGGGTTACTTTATTTATTTATTTATTTTTTTAATGCTCAGATACAACGAAATCTGCAACTGCTAATAAAACAGCAGAGGAAGCGGCTCAAAATAATGTCAGATCATCACCAAAAGCAAGGAAGCAAACCACAAGTGAGTGTCCCCACCAAATGATGGAGCATAGCTTGGGCATATATTTGTTTGGAGCAATCAACTATGTGCAAAGGAGGAGAGGGTATTCACTATTGAGTTTCAAAGATGGTTTTGTCAGAGTAGATTGGTCTTGTACTTTATAAAGTTGGGTGGAAGGATCCAGAGCTAAAGAGGGTCATTGAATGATATTCCAAGGGGTTTTTATGTTACCCTGGTTGCTTAAAATCAACATAACAAAAGATTACAAACTTTAAAATCAGTCTCTTCCAAAATGCATTAATAAATTAAATTTTTTCAGCTGACAATATCAAGGTATTATTATAAATATTATGGTATGAATATCCATAACTTATAACTCCTAGATTCATTTATTCTTAGTGTCCTAATGAATGTCATGGAAGGAGTTTATTATTATTAATAGCTTATAATATTTAAAAGTTACATAATACACCATTATATGCTTCTTTATATCTTTTTAACATTAAAATCGGATTTGAATGGTTGAAGGCCTATAAATAAAAGTCATGTTCAAAGCATATATACTAGTAAATAAAATTTTTTTCTCAATTATTTTTTCTTTATTTCTTTTATTGTCTTGTTCTTTTTTATTCTTCATATTAACTATATTTTATAACACGTTATTAGCACGAATTAGCTCTAAAAATAAGGTATGAGCTTTTAGCTAAGTTAATATTTTCTTATATTATAATATATATATATATATATATTATATTTTTTATTATTGTTCTATTAACATTCATAATTATGTTGTTTATATATTTACTACATTATATTTTATTCTTTTATTTTCTTATCATTTTCTTTTCTTAATTACAAAGTGATTTTATATTTTTTTCATTTTGTTCATTTACCATCCATTACTTTATTTTTATTATTTGTTGTTCCATATATTTTCATGAAGATTGATACACTTATTTTTCTTTCTTTATGTTTATGTATTTAATAATCTTTATTTTTTTAGTCCTTCATTAAATTAATACTACATATATATACATATTATACATTTTGTGTTTGTTATGTGAGAGAGAGTGTGTGTGTGTTAATCAATTTATGTTGTTAATAGATTTTTGTTTCATTTGTTAATATCATATGAATTGTTTGATTCATTGATCAACTTATTTGCTTTATTGCATTTTTTTTATATCTTTATTATGTCTTATTTGTATAGTAAGTTTGGTTGTTCATGTTTGTGCTTCTTTATACTGTGCTTTATTATGAATTATATTCTATAATCTATTTATGGTTATTTATCATTTCTCTCTCTCTCTCTCTCTCTCTCTCTCTCTCTCTCTCCTCTCTCCTGTGTAGCAGCAATATCATGAAAAGAATCTTAAAAAGTATTCTAAATTAATTTCATGTCTTCTTGTGGATAAACAAAATAATGAGCTGTTGATGAAAAATTATGAAATCCATTCCATTAGATCAACTCCATTCCCTAAAGCAAATATGACTATACATAGTAATTACTGTGGTTGCAGATGCGAACATGGTTGTGGCAGGGGACGTATTAATTACCGTTATCATGATGGTGGTGGTACTAATTATAATTCTAATGTCCATTGAAAGAAAAAAAATAATGAAAAGCAAAAAAGAGATAAGAGTGATCATTTAAAAATTGTTGAAAATTAATGTTATTGGTGTGTATGAAGGGGTATTAATAATGTACCTGTCATACCCGAGCATCTAACAAAGCTTTATCAAGCCTCCATAAAAAAAGAATTCAAATAATGTGGAAGCAAATTTTACTTCTCAAAATAAGATTATGTTGAGGCAAATTTTGCATACAAAAATGATAATATTAATGAGTTGGATGATATTAATGGCCTTAATGCTATGACACACTTGAAGGTGGCTAATTTCTTTGAAAATTAAGATTAAACAAATTTGGTTAAAAAATAATTAGAATAATTTAGATTATATTTTTGGATTATGTTTCCATCCAGCTTTCTTATTTTCTTATAATAAAAGTGTTATTGCTTCGAACAAGTTTCATTTTATCAAGTATATATTTTAATATAATTTTTCTTTTGTTGAAGAATATGGATATTCCCCTTTCTTTCATTGGACTTAAGAATGAAGATATATATCTCATGAATAGTGCTACAGCACATACCATAATTAAAAAAATACTTACCTATTTAACAATAAGAGACGAAAGCATTAATACCATAACAGGTAATACTAAATTAATTGATAACTTCGAAAGAGTAATTATAATATTACCCGAAGGAATAAAAATTATTATAGATTAGGCATTACATTCATCTAATTCTCAAATAAATTTATTAAGTTTTAAAGATATTCGTTAAAATAAGTATCTTATTGAAACTACAAATGAGAAAGATGTTGAATATCTACAAATTACAAATTTTAGATCTAGAAAGAAAAGTGTCATCAAGAAATTATCAATGTTATCTTCTAGTTTGTACTATACTCAATTGAAATAAATGCAATAGTCAACAAGAAGTTTATCAATTAAGATACATTTTATCATTTGGCATGACCGGTTAGGCCAACCTGGGTTAACGATGATGCGAAGATTTATTAAAAATTTACATGAACATCCATTGAAGAACTGAAAAATTCTTCAATTTAAGGATTTTTGATATGTTGATTGTTCTGAAGAAAAAATAATTAAAAGACCTTCAATTACAAAAGTGAGAATTGATTTCCCTGCTTTTCTTGAACATATTCAAGAGGATATATGTGGACCTATCCATCCACTATGTGGACCATGCAGATATTTTATAATTTTAATACATATATCTATAAGATGGTCACATTTGTGTTTGTTATCAACACGTAATTTAGCATTTATTAGATTATTTGCTCAAATAATTCAATTAAAAGCATAATTTTTAGATTATGCAATTAAGATGATTCATCTTAATAATGTTAGTGAATTTTCATGATAAATTTTTGATAATTATTGCATATCAACTAGAATAATAATTAAAAAATCTATGCACATGTTCACACTTAAAATGGTCTAGCAAAATTATTCATATGCCTTCAATTGATGACTAGACTGACATAATGCTCCTGAGGACAAAATTTCCTATTTCAACATAGGGACATGTGATTTTACATGCAACAACACTTGTGTTTATTAGGCTAATAAATTATTATAAATTTTTTTATTACAATTGGCTTTTAGTCAGAAGCCAAATATTTTTCACCTTAGAATTTTTGGATGTGCAGTGTTTGTTCCTATTACTCCACCACAATGCACAAAGATGGGACCTTAAAGAATGTTGAGAATATATGTTGGTTTTGAATCTCCCTCTATAATCACGCATATAAAACCATTGATTGGAGATTTATTCACGGCATGTTTTGATAATTGCCATTTTGATGAAACCATTTTTCCAACATTGGAGAGAGAAAATAAGTAGCTTGACAAAGAAATTACATGGAATGTATTATATCTATCTCATCTAAACCCTTATATAAAACAATGTGAACTTAAAGTTAAAAAAATCATTTACAAAATATTGCAAATGAATTTCCATATACATTTATTGACCTTAAAAGAATTACCAAGTTTCATATTTCAGCTAAAAATGTTCCTATTAGAATTAAGTTCCAGTAGGACAATTAGAAAGTGCAAATGAATTTAAGCTATGTTTAAAGCAAGGTAGACCAATTAGTTACAAAGATAAAATTCCAAAAAGATGAAAGGAGTACAAAATAAAGATGGTATAGTTGAGGAGGTTGGTACTCTAAAAGAGTACAAATACATAACTAATCAAAAGACCTTAGAAGAGGTCCAGATATCTAAAGATAATGAAGAGATCTTGATAAGTTATGTCACTATAAGAAAAAGATGGAATCGAAAAAAATATGGTCATTAATGACATATTTTCATATAATGTTGTGAAAATAATGAATCAAAATGAGGATCTAGAACTGAAATCAATTGAAGGCTGTAGATGTAGAATTGATTGGTCAAATGGAAAGATACAATCCAAATAGAGTTAAGTTCACTTTCAAAACATGAAGTTTTTGGACCTATAGTCTAGATACCTAATGATGTATTGCCAGTTGGATATAGATGGGTATTTGTACAAAAACAAAATGAGAAAAATGAAGTTGCTAGATATAAAGCACGATTAGTAGCATAATAATTTTTACAAAAACATGGCATTGATTATGAAAAGACATATTCTCCTCTGATAGTTGCGATCACTTTAAGATATTTAATTGGTCTGATAGTACATGAAAAACTTGACGGCACTTAATGGATGTTGTTACATCCTATTTATATGACCCTTTAGAAATAAAAATTTATATGAAAATCCTTAAAGGATTATATTCAAATTACCAGAAGCATGTAAAGATTCTCGAGAAAAATATATAATTCATTTGCATAAATCTTTGCACAAACTGAAACAATATGAAAGAATGTGGCATAACCATCTCAGTGAATATTTGTTGAATGAAAGTTATAAAAACAATCCATTCCCTCCATGTGTCTTTATAAAGAGAAATGAGTCAGAATTTGTTATAATTATGTCTATATAGACGACTTAAATATAGTTAGAACTCTAAAAGAGCTCTAAAAAGTAGTTGATTGCTTAAAAAAAATTTTAGATGAAAGATCTTGAAAGAACAAAATTTTGCCTTGGTTTATAAATCAAACACTTAGCAAATAAATTTTTTTTATCAATCAACTTACATTAAAAAAATATTGAATCAATCTTACACGGATAGAGTGCATTCATTAACTACTCTAATGGTTGTAAGTAGAGCTAGGAATTCGGGCGGGCTGGGCCTATTCGAGCCGAACAGGCCTGAACCCAAACAGGCCCGACTCTTTGAAAAGCCCGAATAGCCAAGCCCGGCTCGAATTTTTTCAGGCTTCGAGCGACCTGAATACCTGAATTTAATTTTTAAAATTATTTTTAATTATTTTTTTACTTTAAAATTAATTATTTTATTTTAAAAAAATATAAAATATATTTTTTTAATACTTAAATGATGTCTAGGACTCAAATATATGGTATTTTAGTATAAAATAATCTAAAATTTAAAAAATTAATTAATATTTATTATATTTTATATATTTTGTAAAAATATAATTGTTTTATTCGGGCATTCAGGCCAAGCTCCAACCCGATCGGGCTTGGCTTGAATTTTTTTAGGCCTATTCAGGCCGGTCCAAATAGGCTCAAACATAAAAAAAAACATCCTTTTTTCTAAGCCTGGCTCTAAATTTTTTCGGGCCAATTCGAGCTAGCCCGTCGGGCTTGGTCTAAATTATCGGCTCTAGTTGTAAGCAGGGGTGAAGCCAAAAATTTTTATTAAGGGAGGCCGAGATGACAAGTATATATGATAATTAAAGAAAAGTTAAATATGTGTGTGTGTATATATCATCGATATAATACAAATATTTCAACACATATATTTACATTTAATTTTACACATGTATAACAATACACACGCACATATTAAGTTTTGCTCATCAATTTTTAATGATATAAAAATCATTAGTTATTATGTCTGCAATAAATTTTTTAGCAATTTTCTTCTCAACGTGAATTGTCATTAAATTAATGAAAATTTTATCATCCTTATATGAGAATTAAATGATTTAAATACATTATTAAAATTTAAAGTTCTATTCAATATAATAAGCTATATTACTTGTTTATTGAATTACTATTTAATTCTTTTCAAATGATAATTATAGTAAATAAATATATCAACACATTAATAATACTCAATTGTCATAAAATCTTTTTGTCAATGAAATCAAATTATATGAGAGTAAAAACCATTCATATCATAAAATTTAATAGCTTGATTGTTTTAAAAAAAGTAATTTCTTTTTAGAAAAATATCTTCATCAAATCTCTTAACTTTTGGATAAGTGATTTTTTAATAGATATCAAGCACATAGCATTTAATATACCTTGCAATTTTTGTTGTAATGCTTAACAAAATTTGTTAATAATAATTCTCACAATTTCTTTCATTGAATATAAAATGAAAGCAAAATAATATGACATTTTTAAGAACATATATAGTATTATCTTATTAAAAATGAGTAAATCCTATGATATCTACATCTTCAAGCTATTAAAATAGTTGCTTTATACATATATAAAAGACTACATATATAATTAAAATAAGAATTTCATATAGTGTTTCGTAACTTTTATAATGTGTCAATTTAAAAAAACTAAAAATATATAATCCTTACATTTTACTAAGAAAAAAAATTAAAAAATTAGGGGGCCGTGGCCCCTCCAGTCTCCCATCTCTCCACCCCTGGTTATAAGATCTCTTGATGATAAAAAAGATTCTTTTCGTCCTCAAGAAAAAGATGAAGAACTTCTTGTTTCTGAAGTACCATGTTGAGTGCTATAAATGTATTGATGTATCTTGCTAATTCAATAAGACCTAACAGTAAGATTTAGTTCTTCCTTAATAGAAAGGCATTAGAATAGAGTTAAACACTTATTTCTATATCTTCGAGGAATAATTGATATGGGATTAATTTATTCTAATGAATTTAGATTACAACTTATTAGTTATGTAGATGTAAGATTTCGATTGGATCCACACAAAGGTAGATTACAAATTAGATATTTGTTTATTTATAAGGGTATAATAATATCTTGGCATCCAATAAAACAAACTTTAGCTGCTACCTCATCAAATCATACATAAATAATTGCAATTCATGAGATAAGTAGGGAATGTGCTTGGCTAAGGTCAGTGATTCATCATATCCAAACAATATGTGATTTATTGTTAGGAAAAAAATTCCAACAATATTATATAAAAATAATATAGCATGCATAGCTCAATTGAAAGGAGATAGAATAAAACATATTTCTCCAAAATTCTTTCACTCATGACCTTTTGAAGAGCAATGATATAGATGTATAGCAAATCCACTCATGCGACAATCTTACATATTTGTTTACTAAGACATTGCCAACTCTAACATTTAAAAAGTTAGTGTATGGTATTAGAATGCATACACTCAAAAATATAAAGTGATGACATCACCTAGGAAAGTGAGGTGATATTGTTACCAGGAGAAACTATGGGGAATAAATATTATGTTGTACTCTTTTTCCTTTCTAAAGTTTTGTCTTACTAGGTTTTTTTGGAAAGGTTTTTAATGAAACAAGGTTTTAATGGAAAGGTTTTTTGAAAAGGTTTTGTCTTACTCTTTTACTAGGTTTTTATCCCATTAAATTTTTCTAATGAGGCTTTAATAAGGAACAATGCTTGTTATAAACATCTAAGGGAGAGTATTATAAATATTATGTTATATATGTCTATAACTTATAGCTCTTAGAATTTCTTTATTCTTAATGTCCTAATGAGTAGCATGAAATGAGTTTCTTATTATTAATAGCTTATGATCTTTAAAGGTTATATAATGCATCATTATATGCTTTTTTATATTTTGTAATATTAGGATAGGACTTGAATAGTCAAAGGTTTATAAATAGAGATCATGTTCAAAATATATGTACACTAATAAATAAAAATTCTCCTCAATTGTTTTCTATCTATTTTTTGTATTGTCTTATTCTTCTCTACTCTTTATATTGACTATATTTTATAATTGGTATGATTTTTTTTTAAATATTACAGTCTTTCTATGTGAAACTAAAGTTCAATCAAAATTTCCAACAATAAGATAAACTTATATAGATACAAAAAATTACTCTAACATAAATGTATGCACACATTTATATGTATGTTTGTATGCATGTGTGTGTATAAGCACACATGTAAATATTATTATCTCTATTCTAAAGTATAAAACATTTTAAGAATATTAAAAATTTATTAAATATGCTTATATTTTAATATTACCTTTTTTTCTCCATTTAATTTCTGCCCATCTCTCTTTTCAATATATTAAATGAAGGATATTTTTTATATTTTTATTTTTATTTTAAAAACTAAGGTTGTTTAGTATACTTAACAAAGTTTATTGGTGCGTAAAATTTTATTTAAAAATATCTTATAATTTAAAATGGAGGGAGTAATTAATATTTGCCTCTTTTTGACTATATCAAATCATCAATTTTGCTATTAATAAGACATAGACAACACGACTTATTTTGAGATCATGGTCTAATACTTTGTTCAAATGGAGAGAAAACGTGAAAGAAAATAAGATATAGGAGGAAAATAGGGGAGAAAATAATTTTTTATCTTTTTAGATAAGGAAAAAAATGAAAAGAAGGAAGGTAAGGGAGACAATAAAATATGAGACCCACTCTCCCCCCCCCCCCCCCCAAATTTTCTCTACATGCACGAGGAAATTTTGGAAGGAAAATTATTGTTTCATGTCTGCCTTCCTCTCTACCCCATGCTCCTTGATTTGTTGTATGCATATCAAAATCAATTTCAATGCTCATCATATAGATGAGTATTGAGAATTCATCATCCCTGAACTATTGAATTGTCTGGATATAATTTGGATGATTTAGATTTATTTGTTTTAAAAAAATATTTTAATGAATACAGAATTTAAAATAAAGATAATTTTTTAGCTGTCAATTTTTTAAAAAATAACTTTTTACTTAAAAAATACTCATTGAAAAATTATATATCTGAATAATTTAAAAATGATGAGCTCTGAGATTTTTTGATGGGCACTAAACTTGGTTTCAATGTATATCACCGGTCAAGCTGCGCTCCACTAGATGCAGGTTTGCATTTTTCTGCCGGTCCTCCAAGTTCTAAACACACGTGTGATAAATTCCGTGTTAATATTAATACATATTTGTAGTAGGATCTGGTAATTAGAGAGATCAGATAGGCTCCCAGGAATGTTTCTGATTTTAATAATCTAGCAGACTAGTGATGGAGAAAGGCAAAGTTTTTTATATATATATATATATATATTATTTTCTGTTATTATATTTAATTTTAATAAATTACCCACTTTTTATTTTTTAAATAGAAAATATTATGTTTTTACTAATTTTTTTGGCTTTAAAATACAATATCATGGAAATATATTCTTTAATAAATAATTTGATTTGAATTTATTTTGATGAAGCTAATTTTAATATATTTTTTCATTCAATTTATTTTTATAAAGATAATTATATAAAGCATTATATAGTTTCACATAAGGATATTATAGCCATTCTAATATTTGCTCATTCTCTTTTTTTTTTTTCTTTCTTATCATCCAAACATAAAGAGAGATAATATTTTTTTAATTTTTTTCTTAATTTTTTAATTTTTTTCTTTTCATCCAAACAGAATGGGAAAGACCACGGTCATCTTAAGTTAGAACTACCAAAATTTGTGTGCATGCAGGACAATTCAGAAACGCACATGTTCTTTCATGCAAATAGAAGCCCAATATTTTGTTCCAATTAACCATGACGCCAATTAATGATGTGGCTACATTGCGTAGTCGTTTTTTGGGCAATTGACCGTTTGGCTTGTTCAGGCGATTAGGTATGGGCCGGGCCTCGGTGGTTCAAGCCTTCAAGAAGACTCAAAAACGGCGGGCAATTTTGCAACCATTTTATTTGAACTTTGTGCCCTAATCGACGAGCCATGTGGAGGCCGGAGGTCGGAGACTCCATTTCGTGCTCCTTGAAATTCTTTCGATTATCTCATTTAGATTACTACGAAGCTCCTCTATCTCGACTCTCACCCAAACGAGGACGACGACGTACCTGATATTCCCCATCCTGTTTTGCTATCTTGACTCTGGCAGCTTTACTTGACAAAGCGTGTTTTTGCTCCTCTTCTCACCCGCCTTAAATCTCTCTGGAGTGGTGATGATCCACTTGCGAAAGCTTAGATTGACATTCACTCTCGGACGTTTTGCTTCTCATTTTTTTCTCAGGTCGTCAGAAAACCTAGTGGGGTCTATTGCTCAAAACCCTAGATTATACAGAGCTGACAGAGCGGTTCCACCTGCCTATTGTGAAGATCTTGAAGCGGCTCTGACTGCTGTCGGTCTCACCATTAAGCAGGCCCTGAAAGAAGCCGAAGCTGCATTACTTGAATATCTGCATAATACTAGAAGCATCCAGTACTTGGATGCGGATAATATGAGTAGAAACTCACCTTACTTTCTTGAGGAGCTTATGAAGAAAGTAACCATAGAGGAGAACATCAGGCTATCAGTTTACAGGTATTTGTGTTACCATCCCATCAATGAATTTGAGCCCTTCTTCGAAAGCATGGGTTTAAAACCTTCTGAATATGCATCTCTTTTACCGAAAAATATGATTTTTCTGAGTGATGACCAACTGTTACTGGGGAACTATCACACTCTTTGTAACTATGGGATCCCCCGTAATAAGATGGGGAGGATATATGTGGAAGCAACTCAAGCGTTTCGCTATGATTACGGGGTTTTACCATCAAAGCTCCAAGCTTACGAAAGATTGGGTCTTTGCCATTCTACTTTATTAAAAGTTATTGCTTCTAGTCCATACCTTCTGATTGGAGATTGTAACCCTGATTTTGTCAAGGTTATAGGGAAGTTTAGGCATTATGTGAATGATATTAATTGGATTGAGGGACATTTATTGGATGGGACTTCGTGTAATTGGAGCCAGATGCTTAGGGTCATGTGCTTTTTTGGAAGGGTTTTGACTGAGCAACAGTTATCTGACATGATCAACCAGCACCCTGACTTTTTCTTTGACGGATCGGGAGGTAGCAGGACACTCTCCCTTATAGTCTTCCTCCTAAAATTTGGATTGTCAGTGGATGTAATATCCTTCATATTTGTAAATTTTCCACCAATAAAAGTGAGCAAATTCCTTTCAAATTTGAGGCATTGTCTTCTAATCTTAAGTGAACTTGATATGGAGGCTGCAGAGATTGGGAAGATTTTCCATTCTCACTCCTTAATGTTGGGTTCATTCACTTTGAGAAGAACAAATAGTTTACTTTGTAACTTGAAAGCTGGGAAGAAGCGACTTAGGATGCTTATACAGGATAATCCGCTAGAATTGAAGAATTGGGAATTGGGAATAAGAGTTAAGCCTTTGCCAGGCCACAACGAAGCGACAATATCCCGGTTGCGGAAGACAGAGTTCTTGTTGAGCTTGGGATATGATAAGGACTCTAAAGAGATGGAAGAAGCATTTAAGGTGTTTAGAGGTAAGGGAGCGGAACTCCAAGAGAGGTTCGACTGTATTGTTCGAGCTGGCTTGGATCCTCAAGACGTGCAGGAAATGGTTAAAATTTCCCCTCAGATTCTTAATCTCAGAGCTACCGCGATCAACCGGAAAATTGACTATCTTGTAAATGAACTTGGATATCCCATATCATCTTTAGTCAACTTCCCATCTTTTCTTAACTACAGAACTGACAGAGCCCAGCTTAGGGTCTCATTGTATAAGTGGCTTGTGGAACAGGGATGTGCTGATCCCAATCTTTCTTTAAGTACTGTAGTTTCAACCTCAGAGGAAGTGTTCGTACAGCAGTATGTAAATCGCCATCCAAGTGGCCCTCAAGTTTGGCAAGATTTGAAGGATAAAATTTTTTCTCAGAAATAACATTTTCATTGTTTCGACATATTAATGATCTAGGCTTGATAATGACATTCTAGTTTCTCTCCAAAACTCTCGAGTGGTGAAAGGATGATTAACAAATGACATGCATGTGTTGTGAAACGCATTGCCTGTAGTTAGTTAACTTGATTAGTGGATGTGATTATATACTTTGTAGTTAGCCCATTGAAGATTAGTCTCGTTGTTTAGAACTTAATTAGCTTATTGAAGATTAGCCTTGTTTGGAACTCAATAGTTTCCTTTCATGGCAGTTGGCACAAAGAACAACTGCCGGTTCCTAGACCTCACAGACTAGAGAGGAAATAAGCTGTCTATTGCTGGTAGCTAGACATCACTCCGGTGTTATTATTTTTACTAATTTCACCAATATCAATGTGAAAAAAATATAAAAAATAAAAATGTATAAAATTCTAAGTTTATCTTTACATAACAAATAAAAAAATGATGCCGTGTTAATTTTTTCTTTTATAAAAGTTAATTTTAAAAATATTTTCAAATATTATTTGAAAAATTGTATTGTGACTTATAAATAACATTAAATAAATTTTATGAAATATGATTTATAAGTGGGACTAGAGGAAGTATGTCCGATAAAAAATTGATTGCATTATATTCTCTCATTTTAATTTATAAGGTATTTTTAAATAAAATTAAACCTACTAATAAAACTAATTAAATATATTTTACAAATGTTTTTCAAAAAAATATAAACATTTAAAAATATTATTTATTTAATATGTTATTTATAAAAAAATATAACAGAAAGGATAATATTAAATTATACACAATGTGCATTATATTTTTTGGAAAACAAAAGGTATTCCATTAGTTAAATGTATGGTATATTCTCGGATGTTGAACTTAGTCAAAACTTATCATCTTTTTTCCCACACCTGAAAAAAACATTTTCACATTTATTTTTATTCATAAGTATAAGTGTTCGGTTAGACAAATATTTATATATTTAGATTAATGAAAAACATTCAAGAGATTTAAAATTGAACCAAAGTGTTTTTTTAAATATACACACACATATAATTCATATACCTTTCCAATTAAAAAATAAATCATGGGAATTCATTTTAACTTGATATAAGTTTCACGGAGTTTGAAATTTATTTGAAGTTTTATTTAATTTTATGTACGCATTGATTATTTAAAAGTAAATAAATGGTAGAATTTATTTTAATTACACTAGAGTTGGTAAACGGGCGGGCCTAGCCTATATGGGCTCGGCCCTTATAGGCCCGGCCCTGATGGGCCTAGGCCTTAAAGTCCGGTTATCCCAAATTTATCTTAAAATTGAAGCCCGACCCTTATTCATAGGGCTCAGGGCCGGGCCCGTAAGCCCGGATAAAAATAAAATAAAATTTAACATTAAGATTTATTTAAAATATTTTAAAATTTAACATATATTAAATCAAAGTCTCACATAATCTAAAAAATGAACAAAAAATTGAAAAGTCTAAATAAGATGAAGGCAAACATCATCATCAATCCTAATCAAGTTCAAGATCTCCCTCATTATCATCCATAAATAAAATATTAAAACCCTTAGATGTAGGTCCACTTGTAAAAGATGGAGGCGGAGGCTCAATATTAATTATTTTTGCAGCTTCTTCATCATCACTTACAATAATTATTAATTAAATTATTTTATTATCAAATATATATCTATACATATATCACAAGATAAAATATAAAAATTATTATAAAATGGCACAAAACAATTCAACCAATTGCTGGTACAAAATACAAATCAATGTTTGCACATTATCTAGAAAGAAGTGAAAACAATACTTTGTGAATAGTAAAACGGGCTTCACGGGCCGCCCGAGCCTGAGCCCGTTTTTCTATGGCTTAAAAGGGTCGGGCTTCGAAGCCCAATTACCCTAAAAAATGCTAAATTTTTACGCCCTAACCCTTATTAAAACGGGCTTAAACGGACGGCCCGTCAAGCCTGACCCTTATTCCCGACTCTAAATTACACTAAGGTCTCTTCTACATTACAAGATTTGGTCTTTACGCTTTTAATATGTTTTAGCATTAGTCCATGTGCTTCTATTTCTTTGTTGCAAGTGCTTTAAATTTCATATGTTTGCAAGGTTAGCAATGATGGAGCTACTCACTGGCGAGGAGGGTGCATACTTTGATAAAATTGTAAGTAGTGTATATAAATTTTATAACTTTACATCTCTCACTTTTAGTATTTTGCACACTTTGAATTAAATAAAAAAATTTAATCTCAAAAGCTCATTTGTAATATTTTAATGATGGATAAAAGATGTGAAGAAAATATTTTTCATGAAAAACTATATCAATCTGTATGACATATTTTTTGTAAAAAAAATAACAATTAATCTATTTATGTTATTGCAATTTTACTTCTATTATAATTATATTATTTTTAAAATAATTATTAATTTTTGAATTAAATTATCTTGCACCCCTAAGTCCCGGCTTTGCCACTAAATTTTAGTCTTTATTATCATCACTTAAGGAGTTAAACATGTCGGTGTGCACATAATTTTGTTTAATTTTATTGGCAAATTGATACAATTATGATGAGTTGGATATTATATGAACAAGATGGCTACTATTTTTTTTGCCTATCTTCCCTAGTTATGTGTTTTGTTCCTTTTAAAGCTCAATCCATAGCATGTTTAAGGATTATGATTTAATGTCCTACTTTTTTTTTTTTGGTTGTCTTGTACTTATTTTTCATATAACTCATCGTAACATTGACAAGTCAATAAAAAAAGCAACAAAATTTATGCGCATGTTAGTCACAATTAAATGTTTATGGTCATGCTTAAAATAAAAAAAAATAATCATTTAGTACTCGAAGTTTTAGTTCAGTGGTAACTTAGCCCTTGAGCATTGATTCATTATACCACAATCCTTAAAATTTTAATATAGTTATAATTTATTTATTAAATTTTAACTCATTCTAACTCAATTTCTATGATTTTAATTATTCAAAATATTAGTTCCTATATTTTAAAAAATAAATTAGAAAGATTAAATCATTATATTCTTTATCAAATTAAAATTTTTAATAATTTAAAATTAGTCCCTAAATGTCAACATAATTTTAATTTTTAGAATTTTATTTTTAAAATATAAGGACTAATATTTTAAGTAGTTAAAACTATAAGAACTAAATTATAATAAGTTAAAATTTAAAGATTAAGTTATAAATAAATTAAAATTTCAAAAATTAAATAATTAATTTTTTCTTAAAATATGATGATTAATATTGCAATTAGATGAAACTTGAGGAATTTAAAATAATGAAACAAAAGTAGAGACTAATACAAAAACATGCTAAGACCAAAAACAATGTTTTGCCTAATTTTATTGATATTAATAAACAAAAGATAAATGAATCTTTATATTTCCTCCATTTTAAATTATAAAATATTTTTAGATAAAATTTTACATATCAATAAATCTTATTAAATATACTTAATAACTTTATCTTTTTAAAATATAAATATAAATTTTTAAAAATATTTATTATTTAATACATTAAAAAGAGAAGAGATCAACATTAATTATAAAGAGAGAAAATATAATATTAAAATTAACATATTTAATAAAATATTAATTTATTTTAAGTGTTTTATATTTTAAGATAAAAATTTTTTTAAAAAAATATTTTATAATTTAAAATAAAGGTAATATATAATTACCAAATTTGGTTGTTAATTCATTGCAAAGGGTAACTTTTTTTAAAATTACAAATTATCATTTATTTTAAGAAATTTTAGATGCTGCTGCTGTCATTTTCAATGCATATACTTTCGGTCGCCCTTTTTCCTTCCTACTGCCTCCAATTCATTGCTTTTCATCTGCCTCTTCTTTTCTTCTTCCTTTGGTTATTACTGCTCTCAAACTCGTCTTGGCTACATAGGAAGAAGCTTCAATCTTTTACATTTATCCATCGCATCCCTTTCTGATCTGGGTCTTCCTCTTATCTAATTTAGATCAATTTCTTCCACTGCTTCATCGACTCTGTTGTACGTTAGAATTACTCTCTACAACAAGAAGCCAGTCAAAGAATTCCGCTTTTACGGTTTCCAGATTTGTGTGACCAGATTTTATAAGAATGGGCAATCCTTGTGTTTCAGATGCAGAAAGTAAATAAAGTATAAGAGGTTAGCCGCAATTCTCTTGGTTTCCCTTGCTTTATTTATTTCTAATGAATCTTACAGAATAGGCTGTTTATTGTTCTTTTTTTTTTCCTATTAAATCCTATCGTCTTTTTATTTTACGAATCTTAGCGAGGAAACTTGTTTAGTCACGGAGGTGTACTTGTTCAGGATCAGAGGAAATTAGGATGTTCAATTAGCTAGATTGGGATTGGGTTTGGTGACAGTTTCATTTGAATGCGTAATGGGATTCAGGTCCTTTTTTTATTAAGTAGATTTTGTATCAGTAAACGACTTCAAATCGCTGCTGAGGAGAGTAATATTAAATTAGACATGGCAATATTTTGTCATTCCCCTAATAGGCTCTGGCTAGGGGGAGATGGAGATCCCTATTCTGTAATGAATCTCATATTGGGGAGCCCGAGCCTTGCAAGGTAAGTGGGGTTTATAAGTTCAAGTAGTTCTTCTTCCCAACAGGCTGGTTTTTGGGGATTGGATTCTCTCTTTGAATTTGTACTCATGACATATTCCTTGGATTGGTTGCTTATAATCTCAAAGAGACGTGTTGCAAATCCCATGCTTACTGTGAATGTTGTTTCTGAATTAACAAAATGAACTTGAAGACTCCCCAAACCATGGAAGCGAGGATCTTTCAAAAATAGATTTCTATTTGAAAAGTGCATGATCGCATGGATAAGCTCACACTAACCCATCAATTTGGGATCCAATTCAGGATTTTTCTTGGGAGGTATGGAAAGGAATTGGAATGTAATAATACTAAAAAAAAATGATTCTCTATCAATTCAAACGCCATACCTACGATAGAGGGATAGAGAAAGAGGAAAAACCAGAAATTTCACATAGTATTTTTGATTGAAAAATCAATCTTATTTATTTCGTACCTTTCACTCAATGAGAAAATGGGAAAGAAGCAAGAATGTTGTTCTTGAATGGCCCCAAGAAATCATCCATAGGTCTGATATCTTGTTATCTTTTCTTGTGTGCTCGGTGAGGTTGAGCTCTTTCTTCGTTTGGCCATGCATTAACATTACATTAAGTAGTTTTGTTCTTTTCTCTTTTGGCCAAACATTCAGTAGTTTTGTTAAATGGCGCAAGTTTCCATGTCCTCTACCATTGCTTTTAGCTCACTTCAGATTTTAACTGATGTGTTGTTTACTTGTTCCTTCATGGGCAGAGCACTGAAGAGAAATAATCACCTGCATAACACTTGATTCACTTCTTTCTTTGGTAGCATTGCTTTAATAGGCACTGAGAATTGATTTAAGGAATTATTACTGATGAAGTATTGCCGGCGAGCGGAGTAGAGGTGTGTAAAGTATTAGCGTATTACTGAAACATGAAGTGTGCTCAGAACTATTTCCTTTTGAATTGTTTGACATCTTTCATTGTGATTTAGTGTTCTTCAACCTACACTTGAACCTTTAAGCGTAATTACTTTTCCTCTGCAGATTTGTTGAAGAGCTATTTGGTAGATTTAACCGGCAAGGTCCTTTTCACTATGGGTAAAGGCAGAGGAAAAGGAAAGAAGCAATCTGTTGTTGCTAAGCTGGAAGAACCTGGAATTGAAGAGGACAAAGTTTCTGCATACAGGCGAAGTGGAAGACAACAAAAGTCACAAAAGGATGAAATTGTGGGAGTAGAAAAAGCATCAGGAAATACAAAAGAGGTGGAGACTATGGAAGTTAATAATTCCAGCACCGAGGATAAGAGAAAAAGGAAAAGATCTGCACTAGTTAAAGAAAAGATAGATGAAATGAAAGAGGAGAATGCCATCAGAACTGATGATTCAACAAAGCCTGCCGGATTCCGACAAAATGGAAGCAGGCGGAAAAACAAGCCTCGCCGTGCCGCTGAAGCTGGTGTAGATTGCAACTTGCAGAGTGAGATTTTTGTCTGATTGTCATGATAACCTTAACTTATGAGCTTTCTATGAAGAAATGGAAATTTTTTATCACGTGACAAGATTTCCCATCCTATGTAACGCTTGGAATGATTGTTTATCATTAGTTATATTCACTTCTCTTTTTTTGTGTGCTGATCTCTTTAAAATAAAGTAAACGGCTTTAAAATTGTCGACCACACAACAACCTAGACTGACTTAAACACATTTTTAATACCAACAAAATTAAGTAGAAGGCATGTTTTCTTTTTTTTGGGGGGGGGTGTTAAATTGTGATTAAAATATGTGATAATTTTTATTTTATTTCTGAGAGACTGTATGTTGTGAAAAGAAGTAACAAATATCAGTAATCAGACGCAGGCTTCATATATTATATAGGATATGAAGGATGAGTCACATTATTTAGATAGCTTAGGACCTTCCTTCCTTCTGCTATATATTATTTTTATCCTGATGATATTGATAATCTGACTTATGCAACAATGAGGCTATAAAAAATGATTGGTGTATGATAAGGATGAAGACTGCACCAACAGAATCATGATAAACGAAGCCCTGATGAACGACGGAAGTCTAAGATGCCCGAAAAAGAATACATGAAAATTTAATCTGCTGCAACGCTTGCTATCCTCAGTCGCGGGATTGTTGAGCATCTTCTTGCATCGGACAAACAATCTTGTTGCGCTGTCATTCAATGAGCTGTACCACAAGCACAAGGTCAGGCTATCGCGGCTGCTATTTGTCGTTGCCAATTCATATACAGTGGATGCATTAAGTTCGACTTTAAACTAACTCGAAAAAACCTGAAAAAGATATTCCTCTTTTTTGGTTCATACGAGACAGTATCTTGTCCGCGGAATCCAGCCTTTGGTTTAACGTCAGTTTGTAATTTCTGGTAGTGTTGTATAGTCTCTTTACTTTATTACAATTAACTACAAAAATTCAAGAGAATCATTGAGTTGAACTAATTAAATTAAATTTGTAATTTATAAAATAATATTTTAAGTTTTCATAATTTAAAATTACTAAACAAGTATTTAGCCAATCTCTAATCAAAACAAAATAATATATTAAAAGTGAGATATTTCATGATAGTAAAAAGACTCAAAAGTAATTAAAAAATATCAATGAATAAAAAATAAGGCAACGTGTCACAATATATGCACATGTGTCATAGCTGTTCCTTTCTGTATCACACGTCGCAACGTGTTGCATATATCAAATAGCAATTTTTGTGTCATTTGACAACAATGCAAGGCAACTTTTTAGGTGTCTCATTTCTCTGTTCGATGTTTAAATGAAGTGATCTAAATATTTAAGAAAAACTTTTTTTATAAACTAGTTAATGGCACAGGTTTTTCTTTCAAATTATCTCATACAAGGAAGATGAACACCCAAAAATACTTTTACCATTTTTTACATTTTTCACAATTCAAGAGCGTCCAAAACTCTACATATGTGCCAAAAGTCATTCCCAACACCCAAAACACACATAAATGACTTAGAATATTTGTACAACACAACATAGGCACATAATTCTAATCATTTTGAACTTTTACTCATCAACCCTTTTAATACCAAAAATAAAAGGAGAAGGTTTTAACATTGCATTTTACAATCAATGTACATAGTTATGATCAAATCAACATTCCTATACTTGCACTAGTATTTAGGCCTATTAACACTTAAAAAACTTATATACAACATCCTAGGGTCCAAAATATATCTCAAGATTTTAAGCAATAACATAGTGCAAGGGTAAACAAAATACATCGTAATTGACAATATTCTAACTATTACATAAAAATAAATGAAGTTAAAAGGCTTTACAATAGGAGTTCTAAATTTCTAAGCCTCTAGAGCTTTTTTCCTTTTCACACCGGAGCTAGGGCCTGTAAAATATAGAAAGAGAGGGGTGAGTATAATCACTCAATAATTAAGATACACCTATCCTATGTTGTTGCATATCAATAGATTAAAGGACACAAAAGAGAGTTGAATACTCAAAATATAAGATTCATATTATACAAGTTGTAATTTCACAATTTACTCATTTTCATATTTCACATTTTAAAATTGTAGGGTACATTGCTACAATACAGACATACATGTAATAATGGCCCAATCCACAAACATATTGTCACAATACAAATAATTATGTGATAATGGCACATTTGTTATCACGACTTGTCATAAACTTATCAACTATGTGTACATTAGATATATACATATGTATGATCAATTCCTCCTTATACCATCCTATATTTTTTTGATTGAAACCGTGGGTTATAATAACAATCAGGGCTCCATCTATATAATTGAACTACTCAATCTCACTAATTGTGAAGTGTAAGCCAGCCAAAAATCACAACATTTACTTTCGGACCATGACTTTCCTTACTTTTGAATCTCTAGAGTGTCATATACTCTAAGCTAATCTCCTCAACAAACAGGTGAAGATAGCTAATTTCTAGTCCTTCAAAAAATTTTAGGACAGTTCCTTAACAAACATTGAAATAAGGCTAATCTTTGTGCACCAGAAGGCTAATCATTTTGAATTCAACTCCATCTTTAGGCCAAATCATGGTTATTACACTATCATATGGTTTATAACATGCTTTCATATTCACAATTTTAATCATACATGCAAATAAATCTATTTTCACATTATAACACAATTAACAAATAACTATCTAAAGTAAGTTTTTCCTAATTATCTCAAACATTTGAGAGGACAAAGGTTTACCTTCAATATATGCTTTCAAGCTTGCTCTTCAGGCCAAATATGGTGCTTGGACAATTACTTTACAATTAATCAAGTTCAAACTCAATTAACATTGTCAAATATGCACCTCCAACTCTCATTTTCATTTCTAATATATTTAATGCCCTTATTTCTCACATTTAAGCTTACCCATTGAGTATATTAACTCTATTTAACTCTTATTAGCTTCATCAAACATTTTTAGTGGTCATTAATGTCTCATAATAACCTCATAATCCATATTTATTACCTATTTTTGGACATTAATGGCTTCCAATCACCATATGTCTAAACTCATAATTTTTAAGTTTAAATACTCAAAACAACTACTATTAATTTCATTTAAATTAATGAGTTTGGACTCATAACTTATATAGACAAAAAAATAGCCTTCTCTTATGAAATCCTAACAAAAAACATAAGAAAATGGGTGAGGAAGGGAGAAGAAGGGGCTAGAAAACTTACCCTTGGTGTTTAGTAGATTGGAAACACCTCTAATCTCCTTAGATTGAAGCCTTAGTAGCCTTCTCCGTCTTCCTCATTTTCTATTTATTTTCCTTTATTTTTCAAGTCTTATTTGTGACTATTTTTCCACAAAAAGCATATTATGTGTTTTGCAGCACATGCACCATGCGTTTGTATAGGTGATACAGGGAGGTGAATTTTGTGTTTTGGTTGCTCGTGCTTTACAGCATGTAGTAAGAGCCATTTTTATTTATTTTTCTCTCTCTATTTTTTTTTTATGTTTGGGTGGCCGAACTTCACTTTGGACTTAATCCTAAAATTAAAATCACAACTCAAAACATTCGTTAGCTTTCTATTAATCACATACTACATTAACCTTTAGCCATCTGCTAGCTTCATTTAACAATTTAAACTTAATTATTTCCACTAATTAATTAAGGATTAAAATTCAGGCTATTACATTAACTTATACCTGTATGTACTGTAGATCTAACATTTATGGGTCTCAAAATAATAACGAGCTAAAGTGACAATTAGAAGTGGAATGTACTATACTTCTTAATTAATTCTGATATTCATAAGAGAATCGGTGAGATACCGAGTCTGAGATATAAATAGCAGTATCATTTTCCGACCAGCCGGAGTCGTTGATGATATGTGTTAGACCACTGAAGTTTATTGGCTTAGGGGCAGACCAGGAAGCTGTGTGTTGGTGGTGTGTGTGTGTAGAGTCATGACAGTCATGATAATTGCAATTGCGAAATTTCCAAACACATCATTCGAGTGAGAGACAACGTCCGGTTTCTTTTGCTCAGAGAATCGCTCAACACAGCATATTGGGAGGCGGACAATCAGATACTCGCATATTGGGCTAAACAAGCAATCGCAGATCAGCACAAATGACTCAAAATGGTCCCATTTGGTGGTGTTGTCAACTTTTTCAATCACGCTCGTTTTGTTTAGCACAATTCCCAATGATATCTCTCTTAACAAGTTTCGTCAATGTGAGCACATCACATAATACTTTGAGTCGTTGACCTTCTTCGATCTTGAATTACTTTCCTTTGTTTTCTTAGCTTTCAAGTATGGTTCTTTGTATGTCTGCGTGATTATACGCAGTGGCTAATCTTTCATGAGTTGCAGTAATACTATCTCCTATATATAATTTACCATTAATGGCTGTCCAATTCGTGTTTGGGTTTATTTTAGTTCACACTGAACGCTGTACTCACTGCTCACTCTGTGCTCGAAAAACAAGCATGAACCCATCCACCACCTGCCTGTTTTTAAGCTCCCGTCTTATGTTGGCAGCTCAAAAGTAGAGCTTGCAGAACTTACTATTATTGTGTCATCGTGAAAAGTTAAAGGTTGCAGTAATAATTATAACTTTTTTTTTTGGCCAATAATTATAATTATATTTCGAAACTTTAAACACACATATCTAACGGCTTTCGATCATGTTTTTTTAAAGATTTATTTACCAAGAAATAACAATGACACTGTCCAAGCACTGTTGGTTTTGGCGCGCGGCGTGTTGGAAAAAAGTAATAATGTAGATCGTACTCTTTTTTGGTCCAGAAAGGGTGTAATTAATACGATATCAATTATCTGCAGAGGCTAAGTGATGCCCGTAGTTTAAAGTCAATACCTATAATCATTTTATATTATAATATCGGTAAATATAAAATAATTACTACTGCATTATTGCTTATAAATTGGAATGCGATGATTTCTTTGGGCCTTGTTCAAGTGAAAAGATCATAGATGAAGTTTTATAATGTACTCCCTCCTCAAAACAATAATATTAATCATTATTAATTAGTTTATATTAATCTTAATTTTATAAATTTTTTTTTATAAATTTTTAATTATATTTAAAATATAAAAATATAATATT